TCTCATGTAATACTTGTAACAATCTATTTATTTGGTCTCGTAGTAAGGAAATAGAGTCGGCCTTGTTTTCAAAAAGTATCACAATAATCTAAGAAAAGCATGTGACGACCAGATGTAGAATAAAATGCGTGCTAACAGCATCTAAAGTAGAGCTCGCGAATTCTTGTGCCTTGGATCAAAAAAAGAGAAGATAGGATAGTCAGAATTTTTCAGTCCTTTAAAGGCAAAATCGGTAGGTTTTTTTACGTTAATTGCTTTGCCGTATGCGTTCCCGCCCCCAAGTTGGTGCAACGCCGGGTGGACTCAGTTCCGGGTGAATCAGAGATACGAGGCGGGCCGTCGTAATCGAGGCCGGACCGCCTACTGTGGCATAAAACGTCGCTAGTCTTCGGGAGTCTTTGCAGCCAGGGAGTCCTACAATTGCATAGACACCTTATGGCGCATCCAGCAGTAAACCTGGAGGATCTACGGAATGTTATAGCGGACCCTGGAGGGAATCAAGAAGATACAAGGACAATTCGTCAAGTTTCAGATTTGAGAGGGGGGAAGGCCTTTCTTGAGTCCTGAAAATCACTCAGATCGTGATTATGCATTTAATACCAAGGCGAAATGAATAAACCTTTCTATTTCTCTATTCTCATTTGATCTGCGGCATTTTAACAAAAACGAGTTTTTGACAGGTCAATATAAAAACAGAAAATACTTGGTTTCTCCTCGCTCGACTCCAAATCGTTTATTATTGATTAAGTATGTATGGTTATGCGTTGTACGGCGACGTGACATGGTCATTGGACAAAAAAGACAACAGGGTATTAGGGAGAAAAGGTAAAGCCAGAAAATGAAATGACCGCCTAATAGTGACTCCGAAATGGTACGGATAGTACATGATGAGAGTGGAAATGACAGTGACAATGAATAGTATGGATCTAAGAAACATATCAAGATGAGAGACGCAAGTGCAAATGTACCATAATTCCGGAGTCGTCGGGGCTGGTGCTGTTTTTAGTATGGAGCGAGTGTTTGTTCTATGCAGAGGCGGACGACGAGCATCGTGCCGTGTTGTGCGCAGAACCGTATTGTGTGGAGGAAACAGGATAGTGAGTCAATGAAAATGTAGACCAAAGAAGGCAAGAAGGAAACATCATGGATATTAGACGAGAGGATCGGTACTGAAATTGGATGTGTGCGTTGTAATCGAGGACCGGAAAGTTCGAGAGGGAATGCAATTGAGGTGGGGATGAGGGAGTAGTTCGCGCAGCGACAACATATCCAGCTTGCATTTCTGTGATTAGCCAGCCCAAGGTAGAAAATCGTCAACTTCCACAGGATTGCCCCGTTCCAGAACGGCCGCAGGATATTAACAACACCTCCCCCTCCGGGTGTTCGATCCACCCAGCCTGAACACATCTTCCCACTCTCTCATTCCCGATGCCCACCCGTTCCCTGCGCCACGGTTCCAGGCCTTTCTCCTCCGTATCTGCGTCATAGAGTCATCGATTGTGATCCCGCTCCGCACGCTACCTCCATCGCTCGTGCCAGTGCCATACATTCCTCCATCTCCATACTGAATACCACTCTGGGGATCATCAGGGTCTATCTCGCCCAATTCGATCTTGGTAAGGATGATCCGCGCGAGCCGGTTGAACAGTTCATCCACATTGTCCCCGGATAAGGCGGATACTTCCACTGCAACAGGTATATTGGATTTCGCCGCCCACCGCGACGCTTCTTCTAGCGGCACCTCACGCCCTTCCGCGGCCACTGTTGCTGTCATTCTCGTACCGACCAGCGGCCCGTTGATGGATCGCAGCGATCCCCCACCAGAATCGAAAGGGAATGGAGACTGTCTGCTTGACGTACTTGATGGTGTCGGGGGTAAACGCAGGAAATCGTCATCGTAGTCCGCCCCACCCAGGGACATGGTATCCTGGGAAAGCAGGTCGCTTTTGTTTCCGGCTAGGAGGATCGTTAGATTCGGGGAAGCAAGTGCTCTAGCATCCATGAGGAAAGTAGGGAGAGCGGAAAAGGAAGCATGTGATCCGACGTCGTAGATCAGGATCGCGCCAGCGGCGCCTCGGTAGTACGAGCGGGAAACGGAGCGGAATCGCTCGGTTCCAGCTGTATCCCATAGTTGAAGTTTTATCCGTTTCCAGTGCGAGCCGGTTCCTATCTTTACAATTTTGGAGGAGAATTCGACACCGATTGTTTGGGAGGAGAGAACGCGCCCTGGACATCCGGGGTTGCGTTAGTAGATGCGGTTGAATGGTTAAGGAGTTCAGAGACTCAGATGACATGGTTGCGCATGAGGGTAAGGAAGTGCGACTGAGTTGAGGGCGGGAAATGGGGTCGAGCATACATTCGTTTTTGACAAAGCGATGTAGGAGACAGGATCTGGCAAATGCATATATGATACGTCAGCAACAGGTACTTTTGGTAACTATATCGTGATATTTCTAGAAGTCTGGATGGACTTAGAAGACACTTGGCGCATAGGGTAAAATCTTCAAGAAAATGAGCGAAGGGAGGACAGACTTTCCAGCGCCGCTTGGTCCGAGAAGAATCACCTTCGCTAGGTAATCGTACATGCTATCAAGCTCCTTCACAACTCCCGACAGTGATTAGTATCAGAATGTCTGTCAGGAAACGTTGACCAGCCAGGCGTGGGTGGAGTTTCTATACTAACTTGGTGTCGCTCTGGGAGAGACGAGGCGGAGGAAGCATTGGACAGTCGCCTATTCCGCGCCATGGCGTCTTCGTCTACAGCTAGAAAGACAGCAGAATGGTCGTGGAGGAAAATGATTGCGGAATCCGAGTTGGATGTCTCGTGGGGATATCTCGAAGTCACGCACCGGTGTGGCTGGTGGGGTCAACCACAGAGACGAGGCGCAGTCTCTGCCAGAGTGTCACCCAACCATCCAATACTTGGACTTGGATGAACACGAACGGATGAACTGGCGGTGGGACATGAGTTTGCACAGATCGTCTCCTGTGAAATAGACCATAGACCATAGGCCATAGACCGCCTGCCATCTTGCATAAATAGATGTCCTTAGTCTGCTTTCAAGCTTCATTCTTTGGATAGTGCTCGATTATAACTACGCTGAACCGGCCTCGGCACGACCGAGTCCAAGAATGGACTCACGTACTCGTTATTAACACGAGAGCGACGCGCGAGGTTGTTGATGCCTTGAGACAAAGGTTTCTGCTTTAATGATTTGCATTTTCCTCCCATTGCGGCCAGCCAATATTAGAAAAATATTGCCTGAGACGGTTGATGTTGCTATGAAAACGTCAATTATAAAATCCATATAGAACCCGCTCCTTTCCATCTAGTGGTCTTTCTTGGTGTTCTTTTTGATATATTCGTTTGTTCTCTCCCGCTTGTCGCTGTATTGCGTTCGATTTTTCGACTGTGTGCGAGTATGGCGTTGTCCCTGCTTCAAGTTCCGTCCTTCCCGTCGTATACGGGACCACATCAGGTGGGCACTACAGAGTTTGACATTCCCGTGTCTTCTCTTGAATCGCCGGCACCTACCCCAAAATCAGATATACCTCTTCCTACAATTCTATTCCGCATATTTTATCCTGCTGATGATGTTGAACCAACGTCGAGACCTATGTATTGGATTCCAGATCCGCAAGCAACCTTTATTGGCGGGTTGGCGGAGCTTCTCGGAGTCCCAAAACGACTATCGAATATATTAGGGTACTATAAACCAATCCTCTTATATCATTCATGAGACTTGATTTCCCGTATTCTGATTTTCCAAATACGACAGGCTACTCCCAAGCACAGTCAAATGGACGAAGATACCTGCATTTAGGGATGCGCCCTTGAAAGCCTCGACACTCCCCTCAAAACGCTGGCCAGTCATGGTCTTTTCCCACGGCATCGCGGGGTCAAGGTATATGTATAGCTATATCCTTGGTTGCCTGGCCAGTTACGGAATTGTCATCATTGCCCCTGAACACCGGGATGGAAGCAGTCCCAGCTCGCTTCTCCGAAACGCTCATGGCCAGGTTACCGAAAAGGTTCCATACCAACGAATGAAGCACATTTTCGACCCGAATATTCTCCAAAGGCGACATGCCCAGTTGCGCATCCGATTCTGGGAATTGGGTCTCGTGCACGATGCCCTTCTCAAGATGGATGCGGGAACCGAGATTCCAAATTTTGTGCAGATGAAGGGCGCGAAAGGTCCCGTGTTTTCTTCTAGTCTTGACATTCATTCTCCCGGCAGCATTGCGTGGGCAGGCCATTCATTCGGTGCCGCAAGTGTCGTCCAATTTGTCAAGTCTATCTACTGGGGCCACCAAATCTGCAAGGATCCATCATCGATCTCAGCAGAGCCATCCTTCTCGCAATACCGCCCCTTGTACGAGCCTCGACCAGATAGCAAAATCGTTTCACAGATGATTCCGACTTCGCCCCTTATCCTCCTCGACCTCTGGACCCTCCCTTTGTTAGGGGATGATGTAAAATGGCTCTGGGAGAAGCCGCTGCCATGCTATGCAGAAACAGGCGAGGGCCAGCCGCGATCGCCTAGTGTTTTGGCTATCCTGAGTGACGAGTTTTTCAAATGGAAAGCCGGATTAAAGGCTACTCGACATGTGTTGTCTTACCACCCCGCACCTGGGTCCGATGATCAGGGCAATGAAGAAGTTGGCAAGCAACAGCCGAAGATCTTCTATACCGTCAATTCGTCCCATTTGAGCCAGTCAGACATTGGCCTCGTATTCCCATGGATGATGAAGAGATGGGGAAAGGCCGAAGAGCCCGAGCGAACGATGCAGCTGAATGTTACGGCAATTATACAGATGTTGAGAGAATGCGGCGTCCCATTCGATCTGGACGAGGACGTGAAGTGTGCCTTGGAAAATGTCGCAGATGCTACGCTTGACCACTGCGATAACGATTCCCAAAACGGGAATGGTGGCAAACAAAGCGGATTCCATCCAATTATTTTTTCAACGGATGGCTCTGTTCGAGGCTGGTTGCCAGTATCTTTGGCTGACGATACGGCCCCAGTCGAAGAATTTAAGGTTCGAAGTCCCCAAAAACTTTGATTAGACTCTGAATAGTTCTTAATATTTCCCTCGCTTTAAAACTTCCCTCAGAGATATTGAATGACTTAGACACCACAATGTTTATCGACTTTTCTTTCTTTTCTTCTTTGCTACCCCCTTCTCGCGTGTGAATGTACGGTGTTCACAAGGAGTCATACTTTCCGAGCGGCATTTACCCATTACCACAAAGGATGCTTCATCATAATACTATATTTTTATTTTAACATTAAACCGTACATCCATCTCTGTTGATTGAATTCAAATGAGCGTAAATTTTGATTTATTTATCTTCTTGTTTGCCGAACGCAACGCAGCAATTATTTGCACGCTTTTGATTACGAATTAGAACGAAGGAGATCCCTTAATCGGGTTACGGTTGAAGGTGGTTCAAACTTTCTAAGTGGGGTTCGAAGTCTTGACCGGGAAATCCATATTATTCACATGGGGTAACAGGTATTTGATCCTTTGACCAACAGCGTAACTGTAAAATCCCTGCTGCACAAAATTCTGTGGCTTTGCAAACTGGTTCTCCCAGTCTGGTGTTCCTTTCATGACGCAGGGTGGTTGGTTAGAGAGGGCTGAAAACTGAATGATAGTGCATTCAACGGCTAGAAATTGGTGAAACTTCCACGATCATGATTTACGTAGATGAGACTGCGGATGGATGAGCGCTGTGATAAAACCAAAAATTCCTTTCACTCCATATAGATTTGCGGAATCATCAGAAAACCCACGAACAAATGGATGCTAGGATCCAGTCACCTTCCAGATACCCTGTTACGAAAAATTGACTAAATAACTCCGTAGAAACCTCTGATTTTAAAGTAGACGACATCTAGTATGGGGCAGTTGCCAACCTTAGATATGGTGACGTCAAGTTTGTGGAATTCTAGAAGAACACTATGGACAACGTCCATCTGGTGATGAGGTAAGAAAAAAAGCCCGCATGGCGTTGATATGCCCTATTAGCAAATATGCGCTGCTGCTTTGATTAAGAAATATCGAATGCCCTGTGGATTGGTTGCAGATACGTATTGGCTTTTGTTCATGTCCATTCATGGAAGGAAATCTTGGTTGTAACGGGAAACGAACAGGGCACCAGGGATGTCCCATTCGGTACAGCCGTTCCCCAGGAGCAAATAAGCATTTTAGAGGCTTGAGGTAAGTAAATTCATAATGGCTGAAAGAGAGTCACGCTATCCCAACGCAGCCGATCCCACCAAGGTAGATGAAGCCCTCATTGAGATGGTCAGAAAGTATGAGAAACCGTTGTCGATATGGCGATCATCAGCAAAGACAGCTCCTGCAACTGAGAGGAGTCACACATTGTCACATTAGCAAGCTCAGCATACAATGTAGCTCACTATTTACTGTAATTTTAATATTAAAATTCTTTCTCGAAATGATTTAGCGGTGATTTCGGGCATACCACGGTTAATATATCTACGTCATAGCATTAAGTTGATCCAAAAAACAAAGTCTGGTATTTGTGCATGCACATACATACCACCCCAACTTTACGGTCCCAAGCGTGGATTTATCTCTCCGCGATTTGTATTTCCATATTAGTATCTAGGATGTGCAAGGGCCTTTCCATACACATCCATGTCCTATTCCTAAATTCTAATGTTGCCATATTTTGTTGTTATATGCCGAGCCTGCGACCCACCTCCTGGCCCACTCCAAACCTTAATTTTAAGCTTAACTTACCCCCTGAACAAACGTCCTGTCGAAAAAAGAGAAAAGCCGTCATCGTTACATGCCAAATTTTCATCCCACTTAAATTGTAATAAATCCCTCAGGTTACAGGTAAACGTGGTTCATACAACAACTCTCGTTGTGGTCCAAATTGTCGACATGTTCTAGTCTGCTAGCAGCAAGTGAAATATGCTAGGGGCAAAGTTTCTTTCAAAAATACATCAAGATTCCCAGCAAGTAAGTATGAAATGGAGGGCTCAATGTCTTTAGTTAAAAAAAGAGAAAAAAAGTATTCTGTTATCTCTTAACTATATGTATAATTATAGATGCTTTTAGAGGCCTCCCTGTGCCATGTCTATAGCAGCCAACCTTTCAATTCAACCAACTACGTCTCTCCTCTTACTTCCAATATATACAGGATAATGACGGATGAAGTATCCTAGCTCGTTTGCAAAAAATGGTTTCAATTTTCAGAGTCGTCATCACAGGTTCTTTTTTTACAAGTAAAAAGGAGGAGATGAAAACGGAAAGGTGTGGTAGAAACAATAATAAATGGGACAAATACCATCAAAAAGGGAATGCCAAATTCAATCCGCCCTGAGGCTAACTCCCAATCCCGTGACAGTCATAATATAAAGTTACTAATCATCGCTTTAGAAGGAACGTTACCCCTATCTCAATAACCCAAACAGCAAAGTAGAAAAAACGTATCTCATAGACATCATCTCGAATCCAATCCCTTCCTTAATCTTCACCTCGTCCCTTTGAAGAAATATCGTTCGGAGTTTGCCCCATTTTTTGAATTTAATAGTAAGATCATTTTAAAATTAGAACTTGGGGGATCCTAGTATATTGATGCAAAATAAGCAGGGGCAAAAAGGCTAACAAAAGGAAGATTCATACCTAAGAAAAGGTCGGTGCAACGTGTCATTCAGGATAGATTGAGAAAAAATGTTGAAAGACTTCCCATATTCGTGACATATATTATGCCTCCAATCCCAGAAAGACACACTGTGAAAATTGCGAAATTATTTCGAAAGCTCGAAGATCTAGGGATTTAGAAAATATAAGATATAAGATATAACGACAAATTCAGATTTTTATCCGTTTCGTTCAGTGGTGTCGCTCATGGAGATAGACAATGGTAGTCCATCCGGCACAGCAAGTTTTAACCATCCGATGTGCACACCAGCAACATGTTACTGTGAAGTTATTCGAAGACGAAGAGCTGGAGGACGAGGGGCGGGAACATCGCGGAGATTTATTATCTGGTGCATTATTGGATCCCCCTGAACTTGTTTCGGTAAAGGTACTACTACTACCTCCACCATGCGCAACGAACCCACTGCTCGCCATCGGGTGCTGATGTTGGTGCGGACTGTGGCTATCATCGGTTATCATGTGCTCGATGGGTGGGGGACCGTTGGGGAAGGCAAGTTTAGCATAGACGTCTGACGGCATATCATGCCAGTATCTACACTGGCAGCAGATCACGAACATCTTGGCAACAGGTGTTCCCCTCCGGGCAGGGTGTTGAGCTGAGACTCGACCATTTCCAAAGTTACTGGCAAAGCTTCGTCTGCTAGATGAATCAGGGCGGGAGTCGAAAGTTGGCCCTGATGGGATTTGGTGGTGTCGTTCAGAGGCCTTGAGGGGGGAATCGCTGGATGTCAATGAATTGGTAGTCGCTTGCTTTGTAGGTGGAAATGAGGAGGCTATCGTAGTTGACTGGTTGTTTGAAGATAGGGTAGGAGATGCGTGGCCGGAGAAAGGCTTAGAAATATATCGCTCTTTCCCTGGGCCGTGGGGTATGTGATTCTTGTTGATGTCTATCGAAATGGAGCGTTTCTTCTTCCATGGTGTCTCAGTTCCATTGCTCGAAATGCTCATAGTTTCTAGGCCACTAGCAGAGCTAGGGCGAGTATTGGTTGGAGTTGAGAATATTCCACTATTGCGTTTGGGGGACTTGGGAGGGATTTTGATGTCGTTTAACATATCACTGCTGGCTGGGGGGCAGAGGCTAAGCTGTCTGGAAGATGCACTGGTAGGCCGTGATGTAATTTCTGGCCTGGATCCGGCAAAGCTAGACAACTTGGAAGTGTCTTGTTGCTTCTTCAGCACATTTGATCCGGACACCGTCACTTTTGGTAGTTTGGCCTTACCAGTTGTGTTTACCAGTTTACCTTTCATAGAATAACGTCGACTGAAGCCAGCCGAATTCTTTTCCTTCTTGCTCCCATGTCTCAAGATCCGTGAGAAAGAGAACCCTAACTTTTCATTGTTTGATTTGGAAGAGGCGTCAGCACCTTCCTCGTTAGGTATATTCCCTGATTCCATAGTACTTTCTTCGTCTTGGTTATTCAGAGGCGGGCCGGCTAATGGAGAGGATTTAAATGGGACGTCATGATTTATTATTTTTGGTGGTATTCGCATGGGGTTTTCACGTTGTCTCATGCTAGGAGCAATCACCGTTAGCTCCTTGTTGGGGTGATCGGTTATCGTTGCCGTTTCCTGGGTATCATTTGGATCGATTGGTACTTCTGTTGGTGTTATATTCGGAAAAGATTCAGGTTGCACCTGCGGAAAATCTCCAGCTGCGCCTATGTTTTCAGGTGTGACAAGCCAGCTGGCTGGTGAGAGAGAAGGGTCAGATTGAGCAGCATGGCTTCTGAACGCCGCACAGGGCCCATAGTTGGATTCGTAAGGTCCACTAGTTTTGAACTCTTCCACGTCCCCGTTCACTGTTATATGAGAAGATTCCCGACCATGAGCGCGGCGCTTTAGAGAGACCCCAGCAATCCGATCAGAGTAGGTTAATATTTCACTCCATGAATGACTTCGTCCATGCTTACGGTGACTCTCTGTAGGCCTGTACGTTGTCTTTTGTGTACGATTGGAAGGGAATATCGTCGAAATAGTTGATGACGTTTCTTGCTGTTCACTTGAACGCTTTGCATTATTTTCAGTATTTTGAGGATTAGACGCTTCATGATCTTGTTGATTGGATGAGGGATCCGGGGGGGCAATATTCTCGTGAGGCTCGACAACGGTGATTCGTGAACTTTTTTGCGGGCTGGGAGAGGAGATCCCTGCGGTAGTATGGAAATGACTGCTTGTAGGGGTTGATGGCACACTTTGCCTAGTTTTCCGGCTAGATATTGTGCCATTTTCATTTTCCTTATTTGCGGAACTTCTACGTGATGAATACATATGGGGCTCATATTCCGCTTTGAGAGACCTACGTTGGAGCTTCCTTCCGTTAGAATTTGATAGCCGGCGGGTAAGCTCCTGACTCCAGGACGATCTAGGAGGTGCTGTATTAGTATTTGGGGAAGTGGTGTCCGCAGATTGAAATGCCTTTGCTGCAGCACGTAAGTCCGCATGTTTCTTAGCCATATGAAGGTGGCGTCTTGGCTTATCAGGAGGAGACACTGGTGTGGATGGTGACGAGTCCGAATCGAAAGCACGAGACGAGGTTTTATCATATTCTGGGTCTCGGGTTATTTTTCCTCCAAAACGCTGTGGCAGGTGACCGGTAAATAGAGGCTTTGTATGTTCTGGTGAATCATCCTGCTTCCTGCCAATTCCTTCAGGGGTTGTCGCGTCGAGGCCATGTTTTTCTCGAGTAGAGTTGGGCTTCGATGTGCTATTGGACCAAAATCCCAAAATTGATGGAGCAGTTGACGAGCGTGGAAGGATGCTCTTGATACTTGACGCTCTGCTGGGTGTCTTGGAAGGTTGCTTTTTGGTTAAGCGTCGTGGCTCATTGAATGAACTTCGCTCGGATTTCGATGACCGTTCCAACTCTTTCTTCTCCTTAGCGATCCGTTTTAATTCCTTTTTTCTCTCCCTCCTCTCTCTATCCGTTTGCCAGGAGGGAGAAACACAGATCTCGGACCGGCTGTCTGTTTGAGAGACACAGTTGACCACATTGTCTGGGCCTATCGAGTCTGGCGCAGGTGTGCCGAGCCCATCAGCGTTGGTTTGAGAGGCCTGCTCTTAGGGGTCAGCATCTGTTATACCGACAGCCAGAGCATTAAACAAACTAGCTCTTCATGGTGCTCCTACGTGAGCAAGCGAGAAGTGTGCTACGAAACTCGAACTGTTTCGTATTACCGTCTTCATTTTGCAGTGTGCGGAGTATGAATTCGTGCAATCTTTCAAGCTGGGCTACTTTGTGAAAGCTTTGTACCACTCACCTCAACATTTGCGTTCACTGACTGTGGCTCACCAGCAATTATGGAGTTCAATGGCTCCATCCGATATTTCTCACATACCAAACCAGCCACGCTTTCGGGGTTATGAGATTCACGATTACTTATCACGTGTTATGAAGTTGTTTGGAACAGCGGGGGGTTGAGAGCTGTTTAAGGATCGCAACGGACGCGACGGGGGTCCTTTTTCAACCCCGAACACCTGTGTCAAAACTATAACGTAAAACTCTCCTCCAAAAATATATCAAAATAAAGGGCCGCGCAATTTAATTGAAATGTTGCGAGGGGCTGAGTGTGGGAGGAGCTTTAGACGAACGGCCAACCGTTTGCCTAAATGAAAAACACAACAATAGATGCTACAAAATGACCCTTCCTACACAGCAAGTCACCCAAGACACATATTAAAGGATTGAAAAATTGAAAAGCACTGTTAAAAAATCTGCTCCTTCAAGGACTTGGTATCTTTCACAAGAGCTGAAAAGTTTCTGAAGCCTATCAGAAACGAACAAACGGTTCCAAGGGTGGCAATATATGCATGCACGGAGCAAAGCTGGAGCAGATTTCTGGGAAGTTGACAGGCGCTGCCAAAATCCCCGGCTAGCGTGGGAGAAGGAGCTGACTGTTTTATTCTAAGTAGCAGCAGATGGGGCGAGCAATAACCCCACAATGGTGTTGCTTGAGCTTGAAATTTTGACAGCGACAGGATAAAAGCGTGGTTTAAACAGAACTGGAGGAAATGGTTTGGTCGAGGTCAGGGGGAAATGAAGGGAAATATGAAGAGTAATGAGAATAATCGGAAAAGCCCTCAAGGGATCGGGACGAAACGCTAGGCCCCACCTCTGCTTCTTCGAAGCTCTTGACAAGTTCTACGAGAAGAGGACAAAGGGGATTGGCGTTAGATCGGGATTTATCCCTCAGGATCAGATTTCTTGCTCTGTGTTTCAGCAAGGAGCAAGAAAAGCAAGCAGAAACCGCAGAAACCACCTGGGCAGCCGCCAAGTCACATGTTGGGCCCTCGGTCTGGAGTATCTACCAGTGAGAGTGCCCATCCAAACCCTGTTTTTCCCAGAAAATGCAGTCCATGCATAATATAAAGCATGGCTTTATTATTGGATACTGCAGAGTCGGGCCAGGCTTAGTGGACACGGTCAATCCCAAGGGCTAAGCAGACAATCGACACGACCACCACAGCACTTTGATATGATTCATTATTATTATTTGCCCCTCACTTGGACTAGTAGATTGTTTGGCCAGTAAGTAAGAAGCACATCCATCTTCTCACAGACGAAATGCTGCACAAATAAAGGGCATTTCACGGCGACCAAGACATGCACTTTCCACGACACAAGAGAAACATCATCATGGTTTCCATACAGTTTCCCGAGTTTTCCAAAATTGTATAAAAAGTACTCAGGTACGAAAGGGAGGGTTAATTGAAGTGTTGCTCCCTTGCAGAATGCTAGGTAGAGAAGGTCAAAGAAGGGGATAATCGAACGTAAGATGAAACCAATTGAAAGACAGGCAATAATTTATCTTCAGCCACAGTCGTATCATCGCCATAAAGCCAGAAGTGAGATAAAAACTACAGTACATATTGTGATTTTCAACTAGGATGAAGTGGAGAGGTTCATGGAGGATCCAGGCTCTAAGACAGGATGTTTCTGTCAGTTCCAGGTATTCTACCTCAGATCAAGCTGGCCGACAAAACCTCGTTCCGTCCACAACCTTGCCACCTTGTACGCCGTACTGCAACAAAAGAGTACGGTCACCACCTTACTGACTAACAGAGGCGGTAGACGGTGAGTTTGCCAAGCCCGGTAGCAACCTAACTATCGGGAGTCAAAACTTGGCTGTTCATGTATAGAAGCTTCTCACCAAAAGAAAAAAATAAATCCTATTGGGCAGTGACTCGCCAGATTGCGTCTGCTTAGGGAGCTTAAGGCCTCCAAGAATGCCAAAAATTATTTTAGGTGATTCCAAGTCTACACAGGGCCGCTATGACGTCAAGATGGCCACTTGGCTGAGCTCCGTCGCACAGTACTTGCCCTCTTTGGGAACAGTAAAGCTTGACCTCAGCCCGAGTGGCTATCATCTCTCACTATAACCAGCCAAATTCAGTTTCTCATGTACTTTGTCCTTTGAGTTTAACATTTTTGGGTTCACTGAACTTGAAACCCCTAGATTCATTGCTGCTACGACCACTCGATGAACGAATCTTCTGACGACCCTCCATTAATAGACCGCATTGCTCGCCACCTCCACATCAGCGTCGATGCCCACGAAACCTCCCTAGGCCTCAACAGCCACAGTAATCACAACCACAATCCTGACCTACCCATAGCAGATCCTTCTGTTCAAAAAATTGACTCAACCGACAGCATTGGTAGCCAACCAAATTGCCAATATGGATCGAAGGCTACCCTCACGAAGGAAGCAACCTCAGTCTGCCCTCCCGCCTCTACGAAATCCAGTACAGGCGATGGAGAAAACTCTGCCTCCATAGAAACTGTGGAGAAAGGATCTCTCATACTTCAAATGTGCCATACCGTACGCTTGATCATTTTGTCAAGTTGGGTCAACTGGGCTCTTCTTTTTGTTCCCGTTGGAATTACTCTGGGTGTGATGCACCGTATCATGGGCCATAAGAGCCCTATCAGTCCAACCGTGGTATTCTCTATCAACGCTGTGGCCATCGTTCCTCTTGCTTCGCTTCTTGGCTTCGCGACTGAGAATGCTGCGAGAAACTTAAGCGACACGACTGGAGCTCTGTTGAATGTTACATTTGGGAATGCAGTGGAGCTAATTATATTGTATGGTTAACTTCTTTCAACTGTGTACTCTCCACTGACGACTGTAGCTAACCATATGTCAGCATGTATGTCTTCGGAAGGAATCTCCACTTCATTTTTCACAATCATCCCCAGTTCGCCATTCATTTTCTCATCACCCAAAAGACCCTGGTCATGACACTGACTCTGGTTAACACGCGAACAGTATCGCACTTGTAGCTGTAAGTTAGCGCGGTGTTACCTTTTCTTACATTTGGAGACTGTTAACATAGTTGGATCTACAGAAAGAAGTCCGGGTAGTGCAGGCATCCCTGCTTGGGTCGATTCTGGCAAATTTGCTTCTTATTCTAGGAATGTGCTTCCTATTTGGCGGTCTTCGATATCGAGAACAGGTGAGAGGATTCGAGGTACTAGTGACCGTCTATGTGCTGATTGGGTGTTACCAGCTATATAATTCAAACATTACCCAAATGAGTGCCGCTTTACTCAGTCTCAGTGTCATGAGCCTTCTGTTACCAGTACGATCCATCACATTGTTTCCACACTTCTTCGCCCCTTATTAATATTTTCTCTTCATAGACAGCTTTCCACGCATCGTTCAGTAACCTTGAGACTGCTGATACTGTTGTATTGAAAGTGAGCAGGGGCACCAGCGTGGTAAGCTCTTATATCCGACACTGCTTGAAACTTTTTCCGGGCTGACAGATTTAAGATACTTCTGCTGGTATATGTTTTATACTTGCTATTTCAACTGAAATCTCACGCATACTTCTATGAAAGTACCCCTCAACACAAAATCGACGAAGAATCGCACCCAGGAGTCCTGGCCGACATGCTAAATTCCTCTAGCTCATCGGAATCCAGCTCATCAAGTGACATTGATAGTGACGGAACAACCGGCTCCAATACACGAGCCTTACGCATCAAAAACGCCCTCAAGAAACGGCGGCGCCGTAAACATAGCCTTAATTCAAAAGACATGCGACAAAGTTTTTCATCCGCTTCTGCAGTCAGCTGTACCGCTTCGTCAAGTTCACAGCCAATAGCAGCGCCAGCTTTATTTCATCCTGAGCATCATACACAATTTACACAGGCGAGTGTGGAACTAGAAGTCAGCAGGGACGAGAGGAATGTGGATGAGACAAATAATATTCATCTCTTTACCCAACCCATTTCTCGGGATTTTGCGGGTCTGGATTCCTCAGTTAACTCTCACGAAAACGGTCAAAAGACATCAAGGAAATGCCACAGTCACAACAAAGGTAAAAACCGAGCGGACGCTAGCAATGACCTCTTGGCGAAAGCCAACGATCAGGTGGACCATTCAACATCCGACTCTACTCCACCTACGCATACCAGAAGGCAGGTTAACTTTGTCGCTGATATCGCCAATTTTGCCGAGCCAGCAACTACAAGACGACCGTTCGCTGTACGCAGCCTGTCTACCCGCCCGGTTCTTCCGCGAGTTTTTACAAACAGGCCACAATTGCGCTCCACACAATCTCCTTCCATGAGTCCCTCCGGCAGCCAGCGCAGTTCCCATGACAATGAATGTAGTCTGAGGCGTGCGAATTCGCTTCCTGGCCGCTTGCAAATCCCGCTTAATCACCAGGTAATGCCTTCAGCTCAGCCACTTCCACATCTCATCACCATGACTCCATCCCAGAATCCCAACGGGCTTGAAACCGAGACTAAAGGATCGTTTCGCTTGTCCTGCACAGCTTCTGTCACTCTCCTAGTGGTGTCCACTGGCCTCGTTGCGGTCTGCGCAGAGTTGCTCGTCCATAGCATCGAATACCTCGTTGAAAATACAGGTGTCAGCCAAGCCTTTATCGGATTGATCATCTTGCCCATTGTTGGTAATGCTGCTGAGCACATAACTGCAGTGGCGGTAGCCGGCAAGAACAAAATGGACCTGGCCATTGGTGTTGCACTGGGGAGCAGTATTCAGATTGCCCTCTTTGTAACTCCCATAATTGTGCTTCTAGGATGGTGCCTTAATACTGAGATGTCGCTCTATTTCAGTCTCTTTGAAACAGTCTCGCTCTTCGCCTCTGCTTTTATCGTAAACTATCTCGTTCTGGATGGCAGGACCAATTACCTCGAAGGGGCTTTGCTGATATCCGCCTATGTAATCATTGCCCTGGCGGCTTTCTTTTATCCCTCATGCGAGGATCTCAGCATGGCTAGTGGACCACATGGTGCAAGAGCTTGTTAAATATGACGTTGGCATTATCATATGTGATGAGGCAAGTGCTAGGTGTTGAGATACGCTGTGTTTCGTCGTTCTATTAGACCTGCCCACCCTGTTAGTGAGTCAGTAGTGGCTGGGAAATTTGTCTTTTAAAATTTCTTAAGGGTGTTTATGCGACCAAATTGGTTTAGAGATAGCCAGACCAGACGTTGATAGCGTTCTATCCAAATGGACTTCTTCGGCATTTCTTTAAAAGGATATTATTCGTAGATTCCAAAACTTACCGTTCGTATGCGCAGCACGTCCTCCCACCCAATGGGATTGCGCTGCACATATAACTTAGGCAACATTTCCCATCTCCTGCGGGCATCGTGTGGTAAAGTTTGAGGAGCTTTGAGCTATAGTCACCTTGTCTGCGGACTGAAAAGAAGCTGGGGATAACCTGATGTAGGCCTAGATCGGCTGCATAACATCCTAGCATATACGGAAAGCTGGGTGTTCAGAATGGAGAATGCATGATACATATAAAACTGTTGCAAAGTGACCACGGTAAATAACTACTAGTAGTACCTTATAATTCATCGAGCATGTATGAACAATTCGGTGTTGCTATCTCATTCGCCTAGTTTCCATTGACAACCGCGTTTTCAGTACAGTGTCGTGCATTTGGTAAAAACCTTACCTCTACTCACATATCGCCTATCGAGGAAAGTTTCGGGTACTAACGGCTGAACCATGGTTCTAAGATATCGAGGCCACAAGCTATCCGCAACTTTATTTGAACCTCCCTGCTGACACATCACCGGCACAGCCACCTCGCTCTGGCTCAAATCTCCTGCATTAATTTCATTGAACTTGTATAATCATCAAGAGATAAATTTCTCAAGTACGGAGGCGAACTGTTTCTTTCTGGTATTGATCAGTAGCATTACAATTATACCATTGAGAAAAATTTTTATAATGGGATATATTTCATTGTGTGAATTCCTCCCAAATTAGGCTCTCTGACCTTTCAACCTTCTCCTGCGCTGTGAAGTGTGATATATTAGTATTTTGTGGATTTTACGTTTCCAACCGAAGACTATCCCCTCCTTTGTTTGCCTTTATTTCATTTACCTTCTCCAGAACTCGAAGGTACTTGGTATTCTTTGTTTGTATTACTGCCAGTGTGCTTAAAACGCCTTGCACACGTCACAAATCTACGAACGCTACATACTTCGATCTATCACGCCTCCAACATCGTGCAAGGAAATCAAATGAATGTGCCACATTAACTCCATACACTTAACCTCTTCTTTGATTATTTGAAATGGCCTTTTTCTGCTGCGGAGGGGCCGATAAGGACGAAGTTACCGTGGCAAACCGCCCTAAAGATAATAAAAACACTTCCGCCGGCAAACAAAAGGCAAACGAAGGCCCAGCCACGTCTTTCCCATCTAGCACACAACTGAGAACTCCAAATCTATCAGGTTTTTCTACGGGTGACGAGAAGCAGCGTGTTTTCGGGCCAGCTGAGGCTCATGTCGTTAGGCCTAGCATAATCCCAGCGATGCCCGACGGAACTTACGACCAAAAGTCAGGACCTCCCCCTGGTTATCATGACGGAGAGCACCATGAAAATACTCAAGCTCCACCTGGTAACCCACCTCCTTACCATAACTGGGAAGAAGCTGTGCCAGATACGGCAATGTTTCCTCCTCCCCCGGTTGGAGGGTATCTATATTCTAATACGGGAAATGCATCAGAAGCGGATGCTGATCGAGCTCATGACTTCTGTGATAATACCCCGTTGTGGACACCATGCATGCCATCAGATGCGGTATACAATTCAGTTCAAAATTTTGACCTCCGACCTGTTAGACCTCAACAGTACAACGGGCATCTAGAAGTTGTTGGCCAAGGGATGTGGAGAGGACGCACTCAGGACCAGAATGGAGACTGTATTCTGCTGACGGGTTTACCATTGTACTTTCCAGCAAAGGATTCGCCGCTAATCACAGAACGAACGAAGACGATATACTTCGAAGCGAAACTTCTTGCCCAGTACGATGGAATCAAGGGCCAAGTTGGTGGGTTTTCCATCGGTTTTGCAGCTCAACCATACCCCACATGGCGATCACCTGGATGGGAACGGGGAAGCGTGGGCGTTTTCTCCGATGATGGCTGCAGATTTGTGAACGATTCATGGGGTGGGATGGAGTTTACTAGCGCATTCAAAGTTGGGGAAACGGTTGGATTAGGAATGAAGTTCTCATTACCGTCTCCAGAGTCGTTAACAATATCCCAAACCAATGGGACACCCACAACTCTTCCGGTAGAAATATTCTTCACACGGGATGGAAAATTTGTAGGGAGCTGGGATCTACATGAGGAGGTCGATGAGGATGCTGGTGGTGTTAGGGGGCTAGAGGGCGATTTTGATCTCTATGGTGCTCTTGGGTTATTTGGGGGCGTCGAGTTCGAAGTATGCTTTAATCGTTCTGGGTGGTTGTGGGTTCCTCCGACTTCGTAGTCATATATTCACTCTTTATTTTTCTTCCTTTATATTTTTGTTTTCTTGTATATTCCAGCACCATTGTTCAGATGCGTGCAAATAAATAGGCGTACACACATAGGCATTCCCATCTCCTTCAATACAGTATTACCCACCATTTTAGAAAACTTGCTATTGCTACCATAACTTGGCGGAAAAAATAACCAGCATACCTCATAATCAACTCTATCAGAGAGTACGGCAACCCAATAATGTAAAGGCTACTTTCGTCTGCTTCGCCAACCTCCAAAGGAGAAACTTGACGGAACGCGAAAACGTTATTCCGAAGCCCCTTAACGTTACATCAGATTTAAAATTATGATACCTCTCATTGACTTGAAATATAATGTGGATTTCCCCCTTTAGACTGAAACTGAGTCCTTTGTTTTACGAATTTCATCCGTTTCCTTCTAGCAAACACATCAGGATCCGTATCGAGCGGATCCAGGCAACCAAAAGGCTTCGTAACAACTATTGGAAGATGTCAAATGAGGAAACACATACGTAGGTAAGCATCAGATGGCTGATATATAAATAGGGGATATTAAATGTGCGATATAGGCCAAGGTTAATGCGCGATGCTAAACTCTAGACAGAAATATTATTCCGTCCTTGAGCTAACAGATATCTAATCTAGAAACCGTTCGAGTGGAAAAGTACTAGTAAATCGAAGGACCTTTTGACAACAATTATTATGCATATGCCCCCTTCTAAGCCAGGTTCATTTATTGGACTGTGACTGCTCACAGAGAATCTAGCTCATATGTTACTGAAAAATTGACACGACATCAATCACAGTTTCTAGATGCATTGAGCTATTTCTGTTCAAGGAAACATGCCTATGTTAAGCATTTCCCCAGCCTATCTAATTTAACCCTTCTCCATTCACATGTGGTTTTCAAAATAGGGCCAACGTATTCGGATATAATGCTTTCACCTACGTAACCTTTGAGGTAACATGAGCGCGTTGGATGACAGCGACAGCATGCAGTGCTCCTGGGCTTCCCATACTACTATCATCAGCGAATCATCTGATAATATGCCCTCACGAGCTGTCCATACATTCTATTGGCCTCCGTCCTCAGGGATTTCAAAGGGCTGGTACCCACAAAAGGTACCGTGGGACCTCCCTGGTCACATAAATTTCCATGACTCTCCAACCCCCGTCCCTGCATGATCTCATGTCCCAGGTTTTTCTTTTTCCAGATAACCCTGTACTGCCGTTCTCTTACCCGTGGATGGAACTCCCTCGGAGGCCCGTGCGTGCAACCTCCTTGCACAAGAGCTGCCCCGTAGCCCTGACTAGGGTAGGTTCGATGCAAAGGGTCTGGCTAGTTTCGATACCTTCGCAACCCACGTTTGGAAGCCTAGCCGAAAAAGCTTCGAGCTCTTCATCGGTCCAGGGCTGCAGTTGACCCACTCACTGGTGTGGAAGAGCAAGCAAGGTGG